AAACAAAAAGTATATAACGCAACATATTATAACTTGAATGCTTACAAATTTCAATTGATCCTAATTAAATAAATAAATTTAGTAAATAACTAATTAGAAGTGATCACATCAATTAGGCATCATGGGGCCCATATTACGGTTCCTTATATTTTTATTAGGTTTTTTTGGGCATTTTTGTGGCAAACAAAATGGAGTTTTTTAGGGTTAATAATATTAATATATTTTATGCTTAGTTCCATTATTATGGAAATTTTGAGGTCAATATTAGGATTCCCTTTTTAAAAAAAATTTCGATCGACTTGAATCGAATTAATTTTATTAGATAATATATAAATATTTTTTGAACTGAGCAGTTTATCATATTTTAATCTATTGTAAACTTACATCAATATTCATTCTAATCATGATATCCGCTTTTAAACCGCCAGGTCCCAGTCTGAACCAACAAAAGCAGATTCGATTTAGGGCTCTATCTCCTTAACCCAAGATACTCTTTTTTATTCACTATTCATAATTTTTGGTCAATTTATATCACGAAGATGAAAAAGGTCAAATGAATAACTATTTGGAGGACGATAAAAGCCCTTAATACAAAATGGAACAAAGGTTTTTTCCGTTTCAATTGCGTGGCTTTCCTTGAACAATTACATATCGGCAAAATGGGAGCTCTTACATGCCTCCAAAAGAACATAAGGGCATTTTTTCTACGGACTCGGTATCGCAGAATTCGCAACTGATGGATAGAGGATATATAATATAAAAAGATATTTAAAACCAATTTTATTTTGGAGCCAATAAATGGTACTTACGTACTTGATGAAGTCTAAATATATGAAGGCACCCTTCCATCTGCTATATGTATTGTTGCCATTGTACGAAATTAAGTTTTGCAATATGCTGCTTCATCTTTTGCAGAATAATAAAGTCGTGGAAATATTCTAAACCAGCTATTCAAATTTTAGAATTTTATTATGTTTTTTTTTGATTATAACTATTAATTTATTTTTTAGGAACAATCAAATTACTTTGCTATTCTTAAAAAAAACTCAGAACATTTTGCCTATCAAAATTTATTGAAAGGCAATAAAATATTAACGATTTATATAATTTTCTATTACGCAATTTTTCACCGCTTCTGATGATAGTAAAGGTCAACAGTTTGGTACTATCAGTTTTAACTAGGAGGACTAATAGGCCAACCGGTATTTTTCAAGGTCTTTTAAGAAAATGAATATTTTGATTATTGTAAGGCAATAACGTTTTTGCATAATGCAAATTATTTATATTCTACTTGATATTTCTCTTCTAGAGGAATTTTATTCATTCATTTTCCTCATGTAACTCAAAGGTTTAAGAAAACACTATATTTATTGTTTCTAAATATGAAACATTTATCTCCGGTGCGCAAATATTTTTTAATCTTTTCTACAGTTCGCGGTTAGAACCAATTTTTTAACGATCTTCGGGAAGTTTTTCTAAATATCATTTTCAAACTCTCATGACCTTCAATTTGTGAACTAAAAATTGCCTAATCTTAGGATATGAAATCAAATTTAAAAAAAAAGAATTTATTATTTGTGACATAATATGTTTTATTATAAATATTTATATACCTAAAGAAGTATTATTATATTACTAGCTGATAGCCCTTCAAGAATGACGGGGATCAGAATTTTTTCCTTATGGATAAATAATAAATTTTACCTATAATTGACAATGGATGAATCAGAATAATCAAATGAGAGGAATAGATTATCCGTATTCATTCTTCCAAGATTTCTATAAATTTTTAGAGAAAAGGCCAAATATATTATGGAAAATATGGAATAAAAAAATATGATTTGTGAGTTATGATATTTATCAATTCTTTTAATAAATTTTCCACATCCAGACGCCATGGTTTTTGCCTATCTCTTCGTATACATAAAGAATCACTTAAATGCTTTTAAAACCTTCCTAAATACTTTTTTAAATAAGACCTACCTCATAGATTCGACTCAATTATTGGGGCAAACCTGATTATCTCACTAACACTGTGATGGTATCCACCTCATTGCATGGGCTATTTAGAAGATTATTAGCAAAAATAATTGCCACCGGTCAAAATCCAGGATCTTAACTTATTAAGTATACTTGTCAATTAGATTTGGTGTTAAAAGGCAAAATAGCTTCACATGTCATTTGTGTTATATCCAAAATCCTCCTCCTAATATGGCTATTATCTAAGACTTTAAAAGTGTTTTCAATAGCAAATTTCGTGAAAATTTCATAAATTGTTTTTATCTCAAATTTTCTGTTTATTCAAAATTCCTAGAAAAATTAACATTAAAACTCCTTTATTTAGTCTACGTCATAGAATCTGACGTGATCCAGCAGGGGGCACACATCCTCATTTATTTTACCTTGATAATCATTATCTCATCCATTATCTTAGATCTAAATTTGATTTAGATATAAATATTAATAACTCCAAATGCAAAATCTGTTTCCATGATAACAATATACAAAGCCCTCATCTAGCAAGATTAAATTTTTTATTGAGTATTATTAGATTTGGAAATGAACCCTTCCTTAAGGGTTTTTTTTATTAACAATGGACTACAAAGCACTCCTTGGTAATTGTTATCCACAGAGTTTTGAATAAGTTTGCATCTTCTCATGATATAGATCCTTTCTTCAGGATGATCTTTATTATATGAAAATATATTTTGATACAGGTACAGGGGTTGGGCCATATTTTAATTTTTTTAAATATACCTTGGCTGGGCCTAAAAATTTTAAGGATACCCAGGTTGGGCTGTATATTTTAAATAGCCATTATTATCTATAAAATAAATATAATTTATTTTAAAGAATTCAACCGGGCCATGCCAATTTTTAAAAAAAAACAATCTAGGGCAGGCTGTGCAAATGGTACCTACAGGTTTCTGATATATTTATTACCTTCAATATAAATATAAAATCGGAACATATGAATTTTCATAATATTAATTTCATAAAATCTGTAAAAATTATATTTATGTACTCAATAAAAAAATATTCCTAAATGAATTTTTATACATTCATTTGCAATTTAAAACCTAAAAATTTATTCTTGCTAGATGAAGGTTTTGCCTAACTTAAACCCGCCTATTCTATGGATAGACTGAAAGATATTGGGTTGGTGAGTGGGAGGGTTAAAAAATATTTTTAAAACATTGGGAATATATTTCAGGCATATTTTTTTTATTTCATAATATATAAGTTAAAATAAAAAACATAAAATAATACATAAATAGCCAAATCAACCAATATAATATTTTTTATACATTGGACAGGCAAGTTAAACAAAATTTTTAAATAAATGAGCAGGCAGGTGCACCAATGCCCCGTGCAGACCTCTAGTCAGAATGACATCGGAAACAGCAGATCATAATGGATTTTACCTCTGTCAAAGAATTATTTATAAATAATATGCGTCTACCACTTTTATTTTCTTTGCATTTACCACCAGAGGTCTGCAAAACATTTTCAAGCCCAATGGAAATTTTATTATTCCCATCCCAAGTTTTTCTTGGCCCAATTTCAATTTTTTTAAAGATTGTAACAAAGATATATAATTGTATTAAATGCAAATATTTATTAGATTATGGGAATATTTATAATGGAAGGCACAAAGCTCTCCTTGTACATGTTCTCCAGAGTTTTGAGATTTTATTTAGCTAAATAAAATTTATTAAAAATTATACTTTTGAAAAATGAATATTTCACCTGCACCTAACTTGTCATTTTTTGCAGTAGAAATAAAAATTGGAAAATTTATGAATGACAAAATCAGTATTTTCATAATTCATATTTTGTAAAATAATTAAGGAGAAAATTCTATTTCCCTATCATATAAAAGCAAATATTTATTTATATAAAAAATTCATGATAAAATAATGCATAAAAATTGCCTTTTTAATGTGTTCAGAAATTTAAAGATTATAACAAATTGTATAAAATGCAAATATTTATTAGATTGTGGGAATATTTATAATGGAAGGCACAAAGCACTCCTTGTACAATTTTCTCCAGAGTTTTGAAATTTTATTTATCTAAATAATTAGTTAAAAATTATACTTTTGAAAAATGCTGTAAGAATTCTAGTATATATTGTAATATTTGGACCGATGGGTCCCCCAATCTGAATGGGAAAAATACAGTCCGTGATCGGGGGTCCGGGAAGGTCGATGGAATCACTTGGACAACGTAGTTAAAATAATATTTTCAAAGTTTATTTAACAAAGTAAAATCGATGTTACCAAAAAATATCAATTTCCAAAACGAAAGAAAATAATTCCCAAAAAGGTGTTTTCTTTTCAACCTTTATAATTTTTAAAACAAAAAGGGGGAAAAAAAGTTGTTATTTAATCGCGATATAATCATTTTTGAAACTGGTAAGAACCAGTTTCAAATGCAATATAAAAATAAGGTATAATATCAATATAAAAAAAAGGACGATGGGAAAACAAAAGAAACAAGTGGTGAAAAACTTAAAGAAATACGGGACAAGAGGGGGGGGGAGATAGTACATAACATATATATATATATGTTTATGTTGTATAAGATGTTAATGGTAGCTTAAGTGAATGAATGTTTGATGATATGTTATGATATTATCATTGGATCGAATAAGCTATGGTGATTTTTATTGGACGAATTTTTTCTAAAAGAATACAATTGGCTTTTACTCTGTGACACTGTGACACGGCTTTTATATATATATCATAGATGTTTTTCTATTACTTAATTTTTGGGACCGAAAAGTTAGGAAGGGAGACTTAGACGAGTACCATTTTTGGCATATCGTCTTTGGGATACGATTGTATTATATTTTCAATATGGTTTGAGTTAACTATAAATCTATACAAAAATTTTACACACAACTGACTTAAAAAATGGCATCTTTCGCGCGAGTATCTAACGAAGCCTACGTCAAAAGTCCTACTATTTTACATTATTTTTCTCCCTCCCCCTAGAAAATTTGTGGAGTTAAAAAGATGCAAATGTGTCACGAAGATTCAGGCAGCATGGAGATGCTACGCTACTCGGAAATCTTTCTTAAAGCGCAAAAGATGCGCCATCACCATTCAATCGTACATAAGACGTTATCTGGCCTGGAAATTGTTTATAAAGGTTTACAATAGTTATCAATTAATTTTTTTGTATTTTTTTTATTAATCAATCCCTTATTTATTTATTTTTATCAAGTATATGTTCATTAATTCCCGATTTGGGTCATTCATTCCATGACAAATGAACTAAAAAAGTGATCTTTGACGACCATGCATAAGAACCTATGAAACTTTCACCCATTTGTGAAAACGTTGTAATGGTATAAATTATCAACAACCAGGCCTAACGCCACTCTCTACAAACCTTAATCTATCAGTCTCCACTCTTAAGCTTTATTATAAATTGATTAGTAAAAGGTTTTTTTAAACTTTCGCATTAGTTGACTTAAGCCGCCATCTAAAACGGAACAAACCTATAAAATTTTTGGTATCGTAGCAATACCTGAATCGTTGTAACAAATTCTTCTAAAAAAGAATCGAATTAATATGATTTTCTTGAATCAGTTTAGAATATTTTAATATAAAACTTTTTTTGAAAATTGAGATACTTTATTTTTTTTCGGGAATAAGGATTTTAATTTCATTTTTAAGGACTATAATAAACCTTTATAATTTTCTCCTTTGCGCAGTTATCCATGTTAGCAATCTGTACGGTCCTGACAACTGAATATTACGGGCAGAACAATTTATGCAATTTTTTTTTGCGAATTTTGTAAAATCATTTTAAACCTAGAAGCATGCAAACTCTAATAAGAAATCTAAACGCATCTATCCCTACTGATCTCTATGTTTTCTAATATTCTTTTTATTTTAAAGGGGTAACTACTAAGAATATTTTTTTTTAAAAATTTAGTTACAAAAACACAAATGGTCTGTCATAGTTCAAAAACAATATAGGATGTGGATCTGTAGGAAAAAATTCCTCGCTACTTGTGCTGCCGTGCTTTTGATACAATGCTGTTATAGGAGATTCGTGGCTAGGAGGGAACTGAAAAAATTAAAAGTGGATCTTTAAATATCTATTTTTTATGTATAAGATTTTCTAGATTAAGATAAATTTAATAGAAAAGGTCATAATATATGTTAATAAAACTTTTGCTTGTTAATATAATGAATGTATTAAACATAGTTGGAGTTTTAAGAATAAAATTATTTATCGTTAAATTCAATAAATTGAATCAAATCTTGATTTATAATGGTTTATTTTATGTATACAATTTTGTTGTAAATTTCACGAATATATAAATGAAATATAAATATTATTTTCCAATAAGGCTGAAGCAAGTACTATAACATTTCAAAGAAACATGAACAAAGGACTGGAAAATAAAATCATTCAATTACAAATAAAATTAGACAACGAAGTAAATATAATTGATAATTTTCAATACCATTACCAGTAGTGTTAATTTTGATTGCTACCTCAAATAGTTATGCTCTCCCCCCAAACGAAAGATAGGATTTTTTAAATTTAAATTATTTTTCTGCTATTTATATATGTACATTTAATTAAAAGTAAATTGAAATTAAAAATAAATAAATGAAAAATTTACTAATAAACTAATTATTGACAATGTATAGAGCTCTGCGCCGTCCATCCAAATTTTTGTTCCCCCCTAAGATGCACTCTTTATTTAAATCACACCGTGCATGGTAACTTCAAAATTTTTTTTCCTTTATCAAAATATACATATATTTTTCTTTTAAAATATATATTAAAAAGATTAAATATCTATTTATTTTTTAGTCATTATTATCCATTTATATTGCTGTAAAATAACGGCGTTACCTTTTTTGATTAAAACGAAAAGGAACGCCATTCATTGTTTCAAAAGGTAATGAGTAACGCGTTTCTTTTTTTTGTGTTAATTTAGGTCGAGTTTTGAATATAGATCAACCACCAAAGCTTTCATTTTTATATTATTTATTACATTTTTTGTTGAATTTTATAAGTCAAGATTATAATCTAATTAATATTGTATCTATCATGTCATGATATATTAGTATATATTCTCTAATATTATAATTTATTTAAAGAATATATGTTAATAATTATATATTCAGATGAAAATTATTTAACTCTGCCCTGGCTCCAGCTTGAAACATTTTTTAAACTAATAAAGAAAATTTAGGACCCTATGTCTACACCTTGCAAGTGTAGATTGTGCCCTAATCCAAATATTTGAAAGTCGATGTCTAGCAGCTCAAATCTAAAAAAACATGAAGGTAAAAATATAAATTCGGATTAAATTCTTATAAAATTAAAAAAATTTGAAAACGATCTGAATGGAAATTCTTGTGAAGATGATCTAATAAGTATATTTTTCAAATAAAGATCGTTCTTTAAGAGAGAGGGACAGAGAGACTATTAAGCGAGCAAGGAAACAGAAGTGATTGGAGTAATAATGAAAAGAAATAGACAGAGATGGCTTGGGCAGGAACGAAAGACGAAGGAAGACTGGATAAAGAGAGCATCTCGATGTAAGTAAGAGGATCAATACCTCGAAGAATGCCTAAGATGACGTGGTTAAAGGTGATAGCTGCGGATATGAGAAAAATAGTCTTACAAATAGTGATGGTAAGGACCGTCAAAAATCAAAAACTGGCTTACTTTGATAAACCTGGAAATCGCTATTAAACTTAGAAGAATAGGAAAGAAGAAATATAATTCAACCCCACCCCCAGCCTCTGTGCCAGTTAAACTTGTGTTTAACACAGCGAAAGTTGTTACCCCTCCTGTTTATCTGATCAAAATTTTGAAAATCATTTGTTAAAATTATTTTTTTTACAAAAAGCACTTTTATTATAATATATTATGTTTGTATAATTTTATTTTCATTATCCATGGGAAGGAAAAAAAAATTTTAAACATATAATATTTTTACCAGGAACACGGTACAAGGGCATTTTTGCGTTCACGTTTCACATTTCCGGTCAAAAATTGTTCCGTTTTACCTTTCGGAACCGTTCCTAGAAATATATCTAAATATATTTTTTAAATCTAACCATATTAATCTTTATTTAATCATTAAATGAATCAATGATTACATCGATGCAATAATATATTTTTAAAATATTATCATTTATATTTGTTCTTTGTGGTGTTAATATTAATTTGAGTGTCGAAAAACAACGTTCAACACTTACCTGGCTAACAATACTGGGAATCCATATCTTTCATAAATTGGCCCAAATCGTATTAGCAGCAATTTTTTGATTTGTCTAGACTATCTGCTAGAAGTTTTTTTATAGTTGATAGAATATCATCCTTTTTGTAATAAATCTTCACCCTTAAAATTTTTAATATGTTCCCATGTCGCCAATAAATGATTTATAACTATTATTTTCCTCTTCGTTCAACAGAGATTTAAACCTAGGATCTAGATATAAAGAAGAAAGAACAAAGTAATTAATTCATAAGTATTTTTTATCTTTTGTTGAGAGCTGGAATAAAGTCTTGTGATAATAGGGAATTAATTTGAAGCCTTATTTTACATATGGTCCATTGACCTATAAAGTCACCTGGAAAATGCTTTTTTTTGGAACATTAAGCTTGGTTCCTTTAAAGGCTCTAATGAGGCCACCGTTTTCCTACAGTTTTACAGTCTTCATCGGAGAAAAAAAATTTCAGGATGTATCATTTGCAAGGATTTAGAAAATAAAAAGAATTTAATATATGCACCTTAGATGGAATAAAAAATTTTATTTTTAATTATAGAAATAAATAATAATTTTATATATAATTTTAGGAAGGTTCCGGAATACATGTTCCGTTTCCATTCCATAAATTTACTCAGTTCCATTCCATGTCCTTAATTTTTACATTATTTAAATAACGCGTTACTTTTTTTAAAATAGTGAGTAACGTGTTCCATTTTACAAACGCAACACAACTATTACGCATTTTCTTTAAAGTAATGTTTTTAGCATTACTATTTTATATACTTTTCAAGAAACCTTTCAAAAATTGATATCTTACTAATATTAAATAACCCTACGGGTTCAATAAATGTAAGTTATTTCAGCCTAATATAGACTAAATAATGAAAAAAAAATTAGAGTAAATTGTATAATCCATAACCCCAAAATTTATTAGTATATTGATCCACCTATAAATTTGTTAGACAACTCTTGATTTATTACATCACTCTGTATAGATAGGCTTAACTAATAAGTATCTAGGTTTCATTCTTTTTTAGGTGAAAAATTTTCGCTCTTTAGAGGAAAATTATCGAAAATCACAAACCACCGTTATAAATTTTGAAACGCAAAATTTAACGTTGAAAATTCAGCTCAAAGATACTCTTAGAGACTTGGAAACTTTAACTAAATCTTACAATGATTTGATTAAAGTTAATATGGATCAAAATATTTTGAAGGTAAAAAAAAACATTAATATAAATGCAATATTGATTTATTTAAATATTCCTTCCTCTTTTAGATAATATAAATCTTCATTTAATAAATAAGCGTAGATTTATGATTTGTAATTTTGGATATATCTGATTTGAACAGCTATAAATTTTCATTTGAAATGGGATAGATACACCAATATGAATCATAATTTTAATTTATCATAGCAGTTTGAATTCTAGTGATTAATCCTTATTTGGATTTGAAAAAAGGCCACGAATGTGAATCAAATAATTTTCATGCTCATAAATCTTAATAATAAAATCATAGATTCGAAAAGAGTAATATATTTCTAAAACAAAAAAATGGAAAATTTTAATTTAGTAATAAATGATGAATGAGTGATATAATTTTGAAAGGGTCAAATAATCTGCCTATCAAAATGTATATCTCACAACTAATCATAATAAACTTAAGCAATAATATATCGTATCCATTTATACAAAACTAGCTAGCATACCGGTTTGACATATTTTTGTTATTTAGGTTTATTTTTTAAAAATATCTATTATTTTTCCAGGCATATCAAAAAATTGAATAAGGAAATTTCAAAATTTTCGAAATTCAGTAATTTTTATGATTCTATTTTGACACTGATATTTATCAATTAAGATTGAATATTTATATTCGTTATAAGCGGTTTATCGACCTTTTAAAAGGTTTGGTTTGTATTCAAGTAACATAATTTTTAACGGATCGGGTTCGGTTTTGGCTTTGTAAATTATAACTGTTAATACCGTTTCAGGTTTGGGTTGAATCTTTGATTCATGTGGCAATTATAAATACTTCTCAAATACTTTTAAAAGAAAACGAGGGAAACTTGATGGCACTAAATTTGTTTAGCTAACCAAGCCCCGACCATTATGAATTCATTTTATTTTACATTCGACGAATGAAATATTTCATTGTTAACATTGATTCATATAATTTGTTATTGTAACCAATGATTTATTCGGAGACCTATTTGAAAATTAATGTGCGAATTTGTAACCAATTGAACATTCATTCTCTTCTCCATTTTTAAAATAAAATTTTATCACTCCACAACACCATCCGCTCGATTCTGGTTCATCAAAGAGGGACAACAGCTTCAACTCCGCATCTATTCAAGTTTCTATGATAATTTTATATAATAAAATAACCCTCCTCACCTCCCCCCTTCCCTTATATTTTCTTAAAAATTCAAAATAAATAATATTAAATTAAATATATTATAGAATTTTTAGAATTCGTTCTTTTCTTATTATACTTAATCTTCGAAGATTTTGATGAAAAAATATTATTTTTCCTTCCCTTGGCATAATAGTCGCAGATATTTTTTATGAAATTTATAAAATTACTTGGTTAATTGGATAACTTTTGTTAAATTAAACAATCATGTATATAATTTAAATTTTTTTAGTGTTTTATAATTTGAGATATCAATGAATCTTATTTATTCTTTATGAATAAAATTTCAAATAATATCCACAAGACCAGATGAAAAAAAGTTTACTTAGTTTTTTATCCTCTTTAAATAATGTTTCTGTTTTTTTTTATAAAATTGAAACATTAGACAGAAATGAATATGAATGATTTAGAATCTATATTAAAGCATCAAACATTTACGGGTAATTGTATTTATATTGAATTATTATATTTTGATTTTTTTTAAAATGTTGTTATATAACCGTTTGATTAGGGGACTTAATTTTTTGCATACTAATTTTTTTTTTAGGAAACTAAATTTTCTGAAAAAAATGATATCCAATATTATCCTATATTTTAAATATTAGTTAATTAAATTTTCTTTAAAACTGAGATTGCCACAAGCTCAAAACTTTTCCGTTAGAATGTCTACGAATACGTGTATTGAATTAATTATTAATTTAAGGAAACATTTAATTTGAATATAAAATTTGTAAGGATAAAATGTTTAAAATTATAAAGGTAATTGAAAGGTTTAAATTATAAGCAAATTAAAGGACAATTATATTAAATAATTATTGATGGTATGTAAATTTTATTAGTATAAATATAGAGATCGAAAATTTAAAAAAAAAGAGAATGAAAAAGAAAAAGAATAGGAATTTTTTATATAATTTTTTAGTTTGATTTTATATTTTTACTTTTTTGTTTATTTATGTTATTTTAGATATTGTGATTAACTATATTTGAATAAATAAATTTGGTATCTTCAATTCGTGTTAATATTAATTTCAACTTTCAATAGTTTAGACAATTATATATTTACTGCTGGTTAATATTGAGAAAATGACCAAACAAGCAGAGGCACCAACTAAAGTCATCACCAAGCTCAAGACTACACATTCTCAGAATTACACCGTTCTTAACTAGTTTATAGCCACGAATTCTACAGTTTGGTGCATTTAACATCGATCATCATTATGTTTGTATTGTTTTTGGGTTTCTTATATCTTGTCCTTCGAAGTAATTCTAACATCGATTGGATTGCTTTTTTCATATCATAATCTACTACAACCGTTTTCAATTCTCTGCAATGAGCAATCTTGTCTGCTACCGCCCCGTTAAAACCTACTGTTAGAATTATTACTTCGCCAATCACCGCTTATTGGCAATATCTTTTATTTTATGGCTATTATCTTACTTGCGATATATTTATTCTTCATCCCAATATGGCATTGGGGGATTATTTACCGGATTTGCTGGTTTTAGGGAGTAATAATTCCATCCGTTGCTTGATCCTTTCACATTTTATTTTTGCTAGTGATTCGTTATTTGAATCAAGTTTTCTTTTGAGATCGTTGATGGCTCTGGTTAGTATTTCCAATTATTTGGCCATTTTCTCAATCATAGCATATAATTTTAATTTATAAATCATTCTGCCGGCTGCTGATCTACTCCTAAACCCATCGGCAATTTTTAAATTAATTAAAAAGAATCAAATTAGCAGAGAAATTAAATAACAAAATCTGGCGGAATAACTGCCTTTCATACATATTTACAATTTTAAGATAATATTGGATATTTTTTATCGAGAAATTTATAAGATTTTCGTGCATTCCTTTTTTTAAACGCAAATCATAACTTCGACATTTTATCTAGGGGTTAAGTTCAAACTTTACATTATTTATAATATTTTTTATTGATGCTAACTATTTTAAGGAATCGATATTTTTTTAGAGCTTTTTCTCTCTTATTAAATTACGCTAATAATTTGTAATATCTCATCATATATTTTTTTTCTTCCATCCATTAATAAGTAAATACCCCGTCTACGAAAATGAAGTCAACTGAAACATCGGAAATTCATCGCGGACATCTTAATTTTGATTCTTGTTATCAAATGTAAAAAATATATTTATTTTTGTTTTGTTTTATATTCTAAAAAAAATCAACAAATATTATATGCTGCCTTATTTAGGCAAGCACCAATCCCTGGAATCCCAAAAAATTTATAGAGTTTATTAAGAGCGGGATATGTATATTAATCACACAAAAGAACCTAAGTAAAGTATATGCGAAAATTAAGGCAATATGATATAAAGAAATTAAGGTAAGATAAAAACTTAATGAAATAGTAGCATAAAGAACTATTAATTAAAAACAAAAATATCGTTCTCTTAAAATCAAGATTTTCTTTCATCCTGGCTCACCTATAAAAATTCAAGTCTTTTTTATCTTCCTTTTTTTCTGTATAAAAATCGTATTTTTAATATTTTGATTAAAATCTGTGAAGGTGCCTATTTTTTGCATCTGATTGATCACCTTGATTTATTCATCTTGTATAGAGCAAATAAAAAACATGATTCAAAACTTTTCATTATTTTTTTCTCCCTAAATTTATTAATTTTGGTATATTTATGTATCGCATCAAAAGCCTTAACAACCAAATAAAGCTTGCGGTCGAGCCTGTTGATCAAGAAGGGATGTCAATCGGCAAGACACTCAAAGGAATGGATCTTTTATTCTACACCTTCTTTGAAAGTAATAAATGCATTTTTTTAATGGTAAAGCCCAGACTAAGGTATTAGTTTATTTATCAATGTTCATCTAATTTTTTATGTTTATATTAAAAAATGATTTAATTCCTAAACTTGTCAGGCCTCCTTCAAATGTTAAGTATTATAATGTTTGTTAATAAAGTATTACGAAAAAAAATTGAAATATAATTTACATATATAATTTTTTTTTAACTCGAGATGATCTGAATGGGTTACAAATTATACAACATGTTGTTAAAATATCAAGAGTTTGAATTTTAATTAATATACTCCTAAAAAAATAATAAAAATATAGGTTTTAGTATTTAGGACGTGCCAAAACTGACTTTTATAACTCAAGGAGAGTTAAGGTTTTTTAAGATTAATTTTCAGTTGATATTTTTTTTATTAAATATATGCCATGATATAGGAAAATAATTTAAAACTAATATAAATTTCAGCTACATTATGCTATTTTTGTTTATTTTGTAGGTAAAGCCAAGCTACATTCTTTAAAATGTAGTATAGTTACTGGACGATGTCCATCCTTGATTGGTATTATATATTATAATTTTATTGAAACATTAATTATTCTTTTCTCCTTCATTAGAATTAAACCCTTTTGATCTCATTTCCCCTATTGACTCCGGCCAAATTAATCGAGAAAATCCGGAAGACGATATTGATTCTAATGGCTCGTGGCTTCTTCCCGCTCGTGTGTTCATTATGTGTTTGAGGCACTGCGACGCGTGCAGGTGCGAGAGCAAAACAGAAGAATTCATGCAAACTTTATTACTCCGTATCAAATCAGTCGTTCATACGGTTTATTTGCTCTTTTAAAGCATTTAATTTTATATAATATTAATATTATAAATAAAGTATCTTTTAAATATATTTGTATTGACAAAATATATTTTTTCCTTATAATTTTATGTAATGTTTGAAAGAACGTTACCTATGTTGTTAAACGTTTCTTTTCAAAGTAGTGTGCTAGCACTACTCGCTGAATAAGGATAGCTCGTCATCACTAGCTTTTTAAAAGTAGTGCAATAAAAGCTATCAATTTCAAAATAGAAGCTTCTCTACTTTTTACGCTACTTAATTACTATTTTTTATTTTCCCCAACATTACAGGAAGCATGAGGGCATTTTTTAAAATTTACCTGTCATATTTTCAAAAGGGAAATCGTATAATTTATTTCTCATAGATTTAAAATATTATACTTGCTTTCAAGATTAAAGTACATAACAGATTTGGAATATAAAAATTTATTACATGTTCTCATGATATTATTTTAATATAGTTATAAATATTTTTCGCTTTTTTTTACATTTACTGAAAAAATAATTTCGCTTTTTTGTAATGGAATTGTAATACCTGGCTTATGAATTTTTGATAAAACTTATATTAGTTTAGGCGTTATTTTTTTTTTGAAATTTACAAAAATAAAACATTTTTTAATGATAATTTTGGTTGATTAATAATATTTTCTAAGGACCTTTTTAAATAATCTTTTAAGTATTGGTACTCAATAGGGAAAGTAACAAACGTTAATAAAACCAAAAATGTTTGAGACAATTTAAATTTCGAAAAATTTTTTAAATATCAAAATTAATTTTATCTTATCGTGAATTTATAAATTAGTTTAAGTATTTATATTAAATAAATACTATATTTAATTGAAAAGTAGTGCGCCAATTCAACAACTACTGAACGTTACGTAAATGTTATATATGTATTTATTTTTATATAAAAAAATATATAAATTAGAATCATGATTTATCTTATAAAGTATTTTGGTTGGCTAATATGCACGAATTTTACGATCTCTTGCGATTTTTTAGCCCATTTGAAGTAACAAAATTCTATTACCTCAGTCATTTATAAAAATAAATAAATAAATTATATGTAATAATTTTCTTACTTAGAGCCAAGATCATCTAGTTTTTTTTTCTTATTTGTTTTGATTACCTAAACTTTTGGAATAAGTGAAACTCGTAATTTGAAGCTTATCCTAAATTATTTATATTGTAAGATATCTTATTTTTAGTTTTAAATTGAATCCCAGTAAAAAATAATATTCCATGGTATTCATTTTTTCTCCTTTTTCTAATTTAACTATCCTTATTCTATGCAAATGTATTATTAGATTGTATATAAATAAATTCCCCAAAGGGAGATGATATTGACCATGAAGAATGCGAAAAATTTGCTAACCTGGATTTCGCGCGATTCTTTCAACCAGTATATGAATGTATTGAAGATTTGTATCGCTCTATAATTTACAACATCATCAACAAATTGTCGCAACTTATAAGTTATGAATTTAAATTTATTAATAAAACTAAATAACATAAGGCTTAGCCAGAATTATATTATATCTGATGAAATAGGAAAAAAATAAATTAAATATTTTATCCTTATTGAATTTAGAGTTAATAAAAAGAAGTTTTGAATTTCGAAAACTAAAATTTTACATTTTTTTTAATTTCCCTATATTTCAAGTTCCTGCAATACTGGAAAATAGCATTATGAATTCTCACTATCGTAGCGGTATTCACAAACTTAACCTGTCCGTCGATTCATCAGATGCCAATAAATCTCGGTCTAAAGATGACGTACCCTTAAAAATTTTGATTAAACAAGTAAATAACTTAAAACAATTTAAAATTGGAAAGGTATAAAAATTAAAGCAAGAAGATCAAATTAAGTATTAAGGATTTATTTTTTTTAAAAAAAAGGAAAATAAAGAAAATAATTCGTGTTTTGTATATTATATTGTTAAACGGTTTTGAATCAAATTATTTAGGCTTGGTTCAATGGATTTTTTTCCATTTCCATTTATTTAATAAAAACTTTTGTGTATGTTTATTTGAAGTGATATTTTATGACTTTTAATAAGATGTATCTATAACTTGATAAATTTATTCTAAAAATTTTCCCGAGAACATCGCGAAAAATTCGAGTTATTACAAGCCCTAATGGAAGAAAACTTAGCCGATTCTTTTTTATGAATTTGAGGAAAGAATTTGCTAATATAAGTGAAATCTTTTCATAGAAAACCAGAAGGGCCTAAAGTTTATCAAATAAAAAAGCTCATTTTAGCATCTGCCTATATAAGAAAGACAGAAAAAAAACTATATCTGAAAATTTATTTTTATAGTAAATTTCCCGAATTATAAAAGTTCCCAATTTTTTCATTGTTAACTAACACAGTAAGGTAACTAAGTGTCACTAAATGTGAGATTTCTGACAGATACAATAGTTATTGGAATTTATAAGGCCTGATGTAATCGATTAGTTTAATCAACACGATTAAAAATTTAAATAACAGATCAAATATGCCTCCCACTTCTCATTAAAAGTTTAATATACCAAAAATCAAGTCTTCTAGCTACACCAGATTTGACATTTAAGCAGAAAACATAAAAGTGAAATTAAAGAACCGGTTACCCAAAACGTTAATGTTATGTTAAATAATATATCTCTATTTTAATGGGTAAAAGATGCTATATTTTTTATGTTGGACTAAGAGTTAAACTAATTTAGAAACCATTATTTATCTAATAGGCCAAGTTACTAATTAATAACATTAGGTCATGTTTTATTCTAGCCCATATTACCCCTCAAATGTCCTTATTTTTTGGTCTCGATTTTCAAAATTTCTCGATTGATCCCATCAAAGAAATTCTGTGCAGGGCAAATATTTTAAATTAGTTAATAGCGATGCGGCGAAATAAAATTGACATTGAACAGATTTTTTATTCTGCCCACTGGATTTCTAATTTGTGCCAAAATTATCAAAAATATTCTTAATAAAATTTTGTTCCAGATTTACGAAATTTGCTTTGGTGCTATTAACATTAAAAATGGTTTTTTGAACTATATTTGTTATCTTATCCATATTAAACAGCTGGAAGAATCTTGCGCCATATTTGAACGGTTGAAATTGAACCGGGAACTGGTGATACAAATTTTTAAGCAAATCTTTTACATGATCGGTGCCATGGTCTTCAATGTTATCTTGCAAAACAAAAATTATTGCAATTTTACCAAGGCAACGCAAATAAGGTATACATTTTTGTTTCTTCTCTCACTAATACTTTTAATTTTATTATTTTTTATGTTTTCTTATTTTTAAAAATACAAATTATGAGGAGATCTTATTTCATTTTTTAATAAAGGTTGATACTATTATTTAAATATTATTTATTCACTGAGATAAATAAATTATTTTATCAGATCTGGCAACTTTATTTTATTTTCTTTCTTAACTTAAAAATATCATGGGATCCTTTTCAACGAACAAAACTGGGAAGAATCGTTAATAATTTTATGAACCATGACTCGAGCCATTATCATTTCGTCAACCAACCCTGACCTTTACATTTATAACGATTCAGATATTTGAAAATTACTGAGGTGATTGCCCTCAATTTTGGAAAGATGCATCTGCAATAAATCGATAAGAATTATAATAAATATTTCTTTTAGAAAGATAGCTGTTTCACAAGAAAAGTATTTGTTTGTTTTAAAATATAACAGCATAATTGTTATAAATAATAGTGCATTTGAATGCCCTATAATTTCTAGAAATTATATTAATAAGTATAATTTTCTTAATTAATTCAACATTAATAAAGGTACAATTTAAGTCAGTTGGAAACCTTTTGCCGCAATAATTCACTATTGTGTAAAGGCAATATAATTAGCGGGCTGGAACCTCTAATGGCGGCTTCCCGAATGATTCAATCCAGAAAAACTCTGGATGATTGCGAATCGCTCTGCAATATAAGCGAGTCCCTCAGGCCTTGTCAAGTAAAGTTGCGGCGATATCATTTTTAATATTGTATTATAAAATTTCTTTTTTGAATTTAAATAGTTGAGTCACTGGTACTAGAGGTCTGCATTGGACAGGTTTGGCCCGCCCACTCATCTAAGCGGGCAGGGGCCGGCAAAAATTTTTTAAGAACGGGCAGGCGGGTTAAAAAATTTTCTTAAAATATAAACTTTTTGTATATTTAAAACTACTTTGATGGAAACGGCAAGAAAGTGATTTGCCAAAGCTATCAAGATATATCAGAAAAATATTGGCAATTCCTGCAATTCTGAACGAGGATTTAGCATTGCTGGAAGGTTTTTAGAACAAAGAAGAAATCCAGAAAATGTCGATTCATTATTATTTTTGCATTATAATTACATATAATATATAGTTTATATTTATATTTTTTTCATAATTTTGTTTGATAAAATAAATTATCCATAATTTAAATCAAATATTTTTTTATGCTTAATGTACTAATTTTCTAAATTATAGAACTTTTTATTGAGATGTAATGCTGAAATTATTTTTATTAGATGCTTAAAAGATTGAAAGAATGGCCATAATTAAATTTTATAATAGCGGGCTTGGGTTAAAATTTTTTTTATAAATAATAAGTGGGCGGGTAAAATTTTTTAGATTAATGGGCGGGCGGGAAAGGAATTTAAGACTAATTGGCCGGCGGGTATATTTTTAACTATGGGCGGGCGGGTTAAATTTTTTAGATTAATGGGCGGGCGGGTAAGGAATTTAAGACTAATTGGCCGGCGGGTATATTTTTAACTATGAGCGGGCTGGGCGGGCGGGTTAAATTTTTTAAACATTGGGTAGACGGGTTTATGGTTCAAAAACCCGCCCAAAGCAGACCTCTAAAACCTTTCATGTAGCTTTAAAGACTAATAAAAATTATCAACTTTTCACTAAATTTGTACTTTTATTTTATAACTAGTGTTTGAACGCGTTAGTGAACGAACTTCGTTCTTTTTATTTTTGACGAACTTTGAACGTGTACACTTTCCTTTTTTTTTGACGAGCGCATTTGAATTTAACGTTCGTTCAATTTTAAAAACACTTTTTATTTTTTATTTATTTTAAAAATTTGATATTAATCCGAATTTTTATAAAAAAAAGTCTTATATTTTTTAATCAGCTGTTTTTTTTACATTTCGATTTTTTAACACGCAATTATTATAATTAATTTGAATAATGATTATGCTACCTTCGCACGATCAAATTACTGCGGCCATGTTTATTTAAATTTAATAGATTAACGTAAGCATGAATATTATTATTTCATCATCTTCTGAATCTGAAAATTCAAAATCAGATGTATTAGCATTACCAGCCCAAATATAATAAATATCTTACAGTAACATTGAAGAAACTAATTCAATACTTACCAAATGTAAAATGTGCCAAAAGTATTATATCAGTTTCAATATCTTCAAGTTGCAATTTAAAACGACATTTGATTTTAATATTAGTTATTTTATTTTATATAATATAACTAAGTAAAATCATTAAATTTGAAGAAAAAATGCATTTGGGCTATAAAAACATGAGTAGCCTAGATCATTGGTAGACGTACTAATAAATTAGATTAATATAAGGTATTAAACCTATCACTATCAAATTAATTACATATATTTTTTTTTAAGATTTGAACATAGATATATGAAGATCAATATGTTCTTTCTGCAATTATACATCCAGTATTTAAGCTTCAATGTCCATGGATAAAACTTCCACAGAACGAACTTAGAAAATTTTTTTATAGATATATTAAATAATGCATTAAAACCCTAGAAATGATAATGCATGAACTGTTAATTTCTAGATATCCTTTTTTTGACGAAGAAGTAGAGGATGGATTGGTGGAGGTTAACCTATCTAAATTTTTTGAAGCAAATGACAAAACAATAAATATTTTTAATAAATTTCTCGTTAAATGTTTATTAAGTATAATACCTCAATCTCCTCATCTTCCCTTATAGAGCGCGTTTTTAGTATAGCTAATACCTTGTTAACTGTAAAGCGTTCCTGTCTATCAGATGAAAATTATTGTTATTAAATATTAATAAGAAAATTTTTTATAAATAATAATATTTTTTATTCGTTATATTATATTGTATTTATAATTATATTATCAAAGTAAAACTATATTATTTTTTAACATACCTAATATATTGTGTTAAAAAATATGACATTTATTTATATTAAATTATATTTAAAAAAATATTTATCATAAAATTTTGAACGAACGTGAACGCGTTCCTTTTTTTGAACGTGAACGCGTTCGATTTTTGTAAATGAACGGTGAACGCGAATGCGTTTGATTTTTTTTAGAAATGTTTACAACAAACATAATAATAGTGAGAGAAATTCTCCTTTATAAAACCTTATTTTTTGAAGTCACCTCTTACTTAAATGTGGTCATACCATCCTACATGGATTTATCTGTATAATCATTTTGTTGAAATTAATTGTAGATATACTTAGCCTTGAAATTCGATAATATTTTTTCTAACCATTTTTTTTAACAGATAATTCATTTACTCGTCTCTTACACACCGACGGAGGAATATGAACAAAGAGTCACGCCAGAACTCATCGACGCTTGCAAAATCAGACTTTCTCTCTCATCCCTCCCTTTAAAGATTAACTCCAAGTTTCATAATAATCAAAGCTCATCGGGGGGTTTAATGGGTAGGATGTTCAAAACCCTGTTTTTTAATTCTTCAGCCTCCGCTTCCCTAGTTAATAATAACCCGGCGGATACATTACATAACCGCAAAAGTCATTCGATTCTAACGGAGTCCTTTAATTTAGATGTAGTAGTGGCCACGAATGATAGCGAGAGTAATAATAACAAAGAAAGGAGAAAAGGTAGTGTTAAAGATGATCTCTATTGTGACATTTACCATTTTCATCCCCTAAACTTACCTCTCTGCTCCGATAGTAATGACAGTCAGAAGCGTATCTTAAAAGTTGGGTTGGAGAACCTAAGGATACCGGACCAGCTCTTGGGCATGAGATTTGCACAAACTTAAACAGGTAATAATTTTTATTGAAAAGATATATTTATTTATAAATTTTAATATATGGTTTTCTTTCTTTATAGAATTTCTAAGCTCACCACTTTTCAGCACAAAATTTTACCCTACTCAAGTTGCTTATTCTATCTCCTTCATTTATTTCGTAGGAAATAAATTAATGATTAGAGAAGTTACAAAAAACGTTCAGTCTGGTTTACTTCCATGGTTTCTGCTATCACTTTGAAAATCACAAAAAATTTGAGCTATCAAATTCATATAAACTAGAGAAATTGCGAATTTTAGACAAATGCTTCCATGCTGTACCTTCTAAAGATGGTAAAAATTAACACTCTCATATTTGAATTTACCGAAATTTTATTCTAAATCTACCATTGCCATCAAAAAATAAAAAATGACGATTCTATTGATCCCCAAAACCTGGAAAATTTTGAGATAGTGGAACAAATTTTGCATTTCATCAAGGATAAAAGCGCCTCTCGAGAAATAAACATTTATACTCTGTGCATATACGTTCCAAAATTTATCACACCTTCATTTTATTTAAAAAATAACTAAATTTATGAATATTTTAGACAATAAAAATATAAACGAATAATTTCTAATCATATCGATATTCTTTCAGCTAATTACTTTATATTTTTTCTAAATCTGAATCTTGGGTTCAAATTATGAGTAGTGACTAATACTTAAAAAATATTATGAAATTTTTCAATTATGATTTCTTGATTTTAATATCTATCATAAATTGCTTAAGATGATTATATTTTTTAAATGATCAGTAAACTTCTTTTTTTTACTCTACAAAAACCCATTTTAAATAATTTTTTACCAATCTCTTTTTGAGTATTAATGCTATAGTTTCATTTCAATGATAGTTGTAGATATAGAAAAACATCTTTATTTGTATTAAATAAGTAGAAAAATAAGATAATTTATTTGTTATTTTTATCCAAATAGATTGTTTTAAATAACAAATAAATTTATCATAACAGGTTCAATGATGTGTATATTTACTACTAGCCTGGCGATTCATTAATTAATTTTGTAGCTAACACATCCACTATTTATCTTACCGATCATTATATTAACATTTAATCGTCGTGAAAACCATAAAATGACGCTACAACTGACTCCTATATTTATATACACTTTTAAATGCATTTAATGCATGAATCGCCAATCTAGTTGTATAAACACATAATGTGATTGGGTTATATATCATTCTCAGAAGGCAGTGCCGTGAATACTTGTATAAAAATTATAAACAGCTCTTTAATTTAGTTTTTGTTAAGGTTCTTCCTATATATGAAAAATTTTATTTTTTGAAGATAAGGTGGGGCAGGGCTTTAATTCTAAATTGCATAAGTATTTTATCTAAAGTAAAATTTATTGTCTCTTCATTCTCCTCAAACAAAAATCGCTTACCCAAGCTGAAACAAAAAAATAAAGATCCCAACTATTTTGTTTTCATTCCAATAGTCACATTCTCTATCGATTTTTTTTACCCTATAACATTTAAGTTTTTAAAATGTTTTGACGGTAATATAAAACATTTCACCAAAGAAGCAAAATAATTTTTATATATATTAGACAAAAAATACAAATCGAAAGTTTTAAATATAATTATCAGGAACAATTTTTTTATTTATAAATAATTTTAAATAAAATGATACGAGTTAAAAAAAAGGACGTTTGATATAAGGCAGGGATGTGAACCCTTCGACAAAAAAAGAGGGACCGGGTTCGGTTACAGGAATAAAATTTGAAAAGGATCCGGGTAACGCTAGAGGGCAGAAGCGCTATATATCACGTATCACGTATTATTATACTTCATTAAATACATATTCATAATTTACAAATGAAAAATTTAAAAATGAAATAATTTATATTTTAAATGATTTAATCGCACAATCATAATATCTTCTAAAATATCATCCTTGAGATTTCCACGTATAGACAATTATTTCAAAGATGAAAATTCACGTTCTACCCTTACTTAAAATAGATATCTTTATAAAATTATTGTATACTTGCGTCGCCGGTACAGCCATGAAGATTCTAGGATATATTGAAGAATTTTCCCAGAATTTTAAAATATTTAACTTTTGAGAACTTTACTATTAAAGATGCAATAGGCATTTTTTGATTCTCCTTTCTATCTGATGATAATTTAATTTTTTTTTCTCTATCTAAAAGTAAAGTTTCAAGATCATCAATGTTTCTATCATTATTATTATTATCAGTACAACCAATAGATATTGTCGTAGCCTCCAATATATTGTAAACAATAGAGTTTTGCGTATGCCATAAATCCTTAAGATGGTCTTTAGCCATTTGTTTTTGCTCAATACTCAAAACTTGATATCGAGGGTATAAATGAAGCGTATACAACACTATTTTGCAAATATTGTTGCTCTCAAATTTTCATTTCTAATATTTCGTGTAAAAAGGACTGTAAATTTTTCTAAATCTGATCCGCATCTAATCCTATCCATAAAAATCAAATAAACATAATTGTTTTGATTGTAATCTTAATATTGTTATTTTTAAAGGAACTAATACACTAGTAAGGTCCTTTATTTGGCAACAATCATCTTTCAACAAAATGACTTCATATGCTCCTATAATAAAATTATTACAGAAATCTTTCAAACTTAATAATCGTTTTAGCATCATACAAATTGAGGACCAACGTGTTGTGAAATATCATTTAAATTAAAATATTATTACACAATTAACTTTAAAAATAATCAACTATTTCTATAACATAGCATATTAAAAAATTCACATAATAAAATATTATTACCCACACTAAATGATATTAATCTCTAAATAAAATGGAAGTCCACAAAGAAAATTGAAAGAAAAACGCGAAGATAAAATAAATGATTCCACAAAAAAAGTTAATAAAATTTTAAAAAATTTATATAATTTTTTAAAAAAATATTTATATTTTAAATTTTTTTTATGACACCTAGAATCCTTGGACCCTCCACTTTTATAAAGGATCCGGGTTCAGCCAAAATACGAGGGTTCGGGTTCACATCCCTGATAAAAGTAAACCATCATAACATGTTTTTAAAAACAAATTAATATATTATACTTATCATATTTCAATAAGGTTATATTTAATAAATACGAAAATAAAGTAAAGTTTTACTTTTAAATGAGTGATTCAACTACAGTGTTGTGATGATTTAATGAAATATATTGACGATTAATTAAAACCCATCCATATAAAATTATTTTCTTTGCAAAAATAATTAAAATATAGACAAAGCATTATTGAAAATTCTTTTATTACTCCTTTTTTTATAAATATACTTTTTTATTATAATCTATCAAATAAAATTATACGAAAATTAACATATTAAATAATTTAATATTTTTATTCAATTACGACAAATAACACATTTCCCTAAATCATACAATACCCCTTTTTGCTTATGTTTCACTACACAAAACAACAACATTATAATCTTCATTTTATTATTTCCTTCATTACCATTATATTCCTCTTATCTTAGTTGCCTTTTCACAATTTACGTTTCTTCTCTTCTCATTACCGCTTATCAAAATTATCAAGTTTTACAATTTTTCCTTTTTACGATCTACTACTTTTAATTCTTAATCTTTTAATAATTAATTGCTTTTTTTAAAAAAAAACAACTATCTTTTAATTCCTTTCAGGGTATATTAATATAATAAAAGCAAAAAATTAAAAAGATTTAACCATATGTTTTTTTATTTTTATATAATACTCAAAAAATAAATGACGATCAAATCTATAATGTATGACAAAACAGATTTAAAAAATGCATTAAAATATAAAAAATTGGATATTTTAATTTTCGTTTTTTCTTTATGTATTCCGATTTTCTATATTCCTTTAAAATATATTTAAATATAAATTATATTTTTATAAATTTACCTTAATTCAATGGTTGTCCTCGATAACCATTCTCCAAATATTGATGCATTTTATTTTGAAAAGTCATAAGGAATAGTAAATTCATTAAGAATTGATGTTACATTATGAACGATTTCGTTTCTTGTATTTGGTCGGGGATTCATTGACCTATATTTGTTTTATAATACGCCAAAGAAAATCTCTATTGGATTAAGTTGAGGCGAATAGGGGAGCAAAATTCTACTCGCACTTTAAAACTATCAATGAGGTGACTTTTATGGATGGATGCATTGTCTTTAACAATAACTGCATCCCTTGGTATGATATTAATTAGTTCTATCATATATTTTCGAAATAGTAGACTATTATAAGCTCCCTCGATGATGCGATAAAGTATGACACCTTCGATTCCCATAGTACATAATATACTTAAATTTTTACCATTAGATGGTGGGACTTTAACAGTTGGCATAACATTGTATGGTGCCCAGGCGTAAACAGGTACAACATGTAAATTTATGCCTGTCTGTCTAAGAAAAATATTTTTTCTCTGGCTATATTCAATATTTTTATACAATAAGGGAGAATTGATATAATGGGAATTATTTGTAGCAGATATATTAGGTATTGAATTAGAATAAATAGGATCAGGATTTGATGTAAATGAATTTGTATTATTTGTATTACTATATAAAATTTGTCATATATTAAACATTTGAAAAAAATATTAAACTGTATTTTATATAAAAAAGTTTAAGTAATATAAAAATTGTAAATGCAAAAAAATTACATTAAAATTTTACCATATGTATTTTTGTAGTGTTTGTTTTGTTATATATTAATGAATCGTCATTTATTTTTTAAATGTAAAAATAAAGACACATACTGTTTCATTCTTTTAACTTTTTGTTTTTATTATAATATCTTACCCTGTATCATTTTCACTTTTAATAGAAATTGTACATTAACAAACTCATGTGATAATTTATTACTTTCAATTATTTTTAGCTATTTACATTTGATTACAATCCCAACTCATATAAACATTTTATCTTCCAACATTCTTCTACTAACGATATATAAAAAAAATTAAATCAAGTTAAGCTTTAACATAATACAACTTGACCCCCATATTTTACTTCATTTATTCTTTTGAATTTTATTCCTATAAAATTTAAGACAAAAACTTAACCAACTGCACATATTTTTTACCATTTTATTAATACCATTTAATCAAATTTTACAATGCAATACATTAACTCAATAATATATTGCTAGCAATATTCCACATAAACTACCAAACTTTTAATTCATACAATTGGACTAAGCGATCCATAACCTTTTAACCCTTCAATAATTTTAGAATATACAACAATCCCTCAGATAATAAGCATTTATACTTCTCATATATATATTCCCAAATTTTTTCCTTACAATATTCTACAATTCCCTCAGATAATTAGTATTTACCTTTCTCATATATATTCCCAAATTTTTCCTTTAATTTCTTCTTTTTTTTTACTACATTTTCATACCATTCCTATGCTTTTTGACCCCCTTATTATCCTCCACTCTCTTTTAAAC